AGGGTGTGGATAGTAGAGTGTAGAGTGTAGAGTGTTAGGAGTAGAGTGTGGAGAGTAGGGTGTGGATAGTAGAGTGTAGAGTGTAGAGTGTTAGGAGTAGAGTGTGGAGAGTAGAGTTTAGAGTGTTAAGTGTGGAGTGTAGAGTGTGGAGAGTAGAGTGTAGAGTGTTGAGAGTAGAATGTAGAGAGTAGAGTGTAGCGGAATGTAGAGACTAGAGTGTAGAGAGTAGAGTGTGGAGAGTAGAATGTGGAGAGTAGAGTGTAGAGTGAGGAGTGTAGAGTGTGGAGAGTAGAATGTAGAGAGTAGAGAGTAGAGTGTGGAGAGTAGAGTGTGGAGAGTAGAGAGTGGAGAGTAGAGTGTAGAGAGTAGAGTGTGGAGAGTAGAGAGTGGAGAGTAGAGAGTGGAGAGTAGAGTGTAGAGAGTAGAGTGTGGAGAGTAGAGGGGAGAGTGTGGAGAGTAGAGGGGAGAGTGTGGAGAGTAGATTGTAGAGAGTAGAGAGTGGAGAGTAGAGAGTGGGAGTAGAGTGTGGAGAGTAGAGTGTGGAGAGTAGAGACGCTCGCCATAGCCCGTGCTACATGGCCATTTCGTTCTGAGTAGCTAACTCTAAGACAAGAAGAAGAGCAGTTATGACGGAGACACAGCGGGACACCTCGGAGGGTGGCGGGTGGTGCGCCTGTGGCCGGGGGCGCCGGCTCCGGTATTTCCATCATTTATCAGGAGGCGAGCAAGATGGATCCCCGAGCGAGGCTGGTGGCGGCACCTCACTGATAGAAACTCGATCCATATTTCACCTGCTTTTGAGCAAAATCTGCGGTGCTTTACATGCAATATTGTGAGGATGATAAGGTAGGGGTGTGTGTGTGTGTGTGTGTGTGTGTGTGTGTGTGTGTGTGTGTGTGTGTGTGTGTGTGTGTGTGTGTGTGTGTGTGTGTCCTCACCTATTTGTGCCTGCATGATCGAGCATTAACTCTTGGATCCCGCCTTTCTAGTCATCGGTTGTTTATAGCAATGACTCCCGGTCCTATTTCCCTATCATATCTAGTTTTAAAATTATGAATAGAATTTGCTTCCACAACCTGCTACTTAAGTGCATTTCAGATTGGTCTCACGTAGGCATTGTAAAGCGCCCTAAAAGCCTCCTTACTTAGGTTTCTGAATGATGTTCTAACTTTTGCCAGTGTAGAGTACGCTGCTGTCGTTATCCTATTTATGTGTGCCTCAGGAGTTAGATTAGGTGTTACGTCCACTCTCAGGTCTCTTTCTCGAATCGTCACAGGTAGGCAGTTCCCCTTCATTGTGTACCGTCCCTTTGGTCTTCTATCACCTAATCCCATCTCCATAACTTTACATTTGCTCATGTTGAACTCCAGTAGCCATTTCTCTGACCATCTCTGCAATTTGTTCAAGTCCTCTTGGAGGATCTTACAATCCTCATCTGTCACAACTCTTCTCATTAATTTTGCGTCATCCGCGAACATCGACATGTAGGACTCTAGTCATGTAAACATGTCATTAACGTATATTAGAAATAGAATTGGTCCCAGCACCGATCCTTGAGGTACTCCACTCGTTACTGTTCGCCAGTGCGACTTCTCGCCCCTTACCATTACTCTCTGGCTCCTTCCTGTTAGGTAGTTCCTCACCCATGCTAGAGCCTTTCCGCTTACTCTCACCTGCCTCTCAAGTTTGTGTAGCAGTCTCATGTGCGGTACTGTATCTAAGGCTTTTGGACAGTCCAAAAATATGCAGTTTGCCCATCTTTCTCTGTCCTGCCTTATTCTCCTTATTTAATCATAGAATCCTCCCCTCACGGCCCCTCACTCCTCGTCCTCTCACGGCCCCTCACGCCTCCTCCCCTCACGCCTCCTCCCCTCACGGCCCCTCACTCCTCGTCCCCTCACGGCCCCTCACGCCTCCTCCCCTTTTCCTCCACATCCTGGGCTGCCCTCGGCCTCAGCTCCCTCGTCTCCCCTCTTAACGTCGCCCAGAGTGCTCTTCACTACACACTTTCTTCTTCCATATATCTGGTGTCAACCTCACCCAGTGCCAGCCCCCCGGTGTCAGCCACATTATGAACACCAGTGTCAGCTACAGTGTCAGCTACAGTGTGGCTGCCACTAACTGTAAGGAGCCGCGGCCTCGTGTCCTCCACTCTGACCACTTGGTAATGATGGGTGAACTAGTGGGAAAGGTTGTGGTCCTGCCGTCCCTCCACACCTGCCGTCCCTCCACACCTGCCGTCCCTCCACACCTGCCGTCCCTCCACACCTGCCTTCTAACCCGTCTGGCAACACCATTTGCTGCCCTCCCTCGCCCGCTTGTAAAACACTTGTTTTAATCTTACTGAAAACATTATTACATGTCTACTGACGACCTGCCCACCACCAAGAGTGACACCAGCGTGTACTATCTGGTGGGTAGTAGAGCCCAACTCGTCGCCTGAGCGACCACTCTCCCTCAACTATTCCTTTTGTTTGTCCAGTGAGCGCTAAGCAAGGAGTCCACTTAACTCCCAAAAGGGTCGTCCAGTCCTCTGTTTTTATAGCACTTGTTTTAAGGCCACAAGCCCCACCTCCAGGCCCCCACAGACCCCCTCCAAGCCCCCCAAGACCCCCCAGACCCCTCCACGCCCCCCAGACCCCCTCCACGCCCCCCAGACCCCCTCCACGCCCCCCCCAGACCCCCCCAGACCCCTCCACGCCCCCCATCCCCCCATTCCTCCAGGCTCCAGCTGTGTTTAAGCCGTTCCCACCGTGCTTCTCTCGGCCACAATGCCAGAGAACTTTGGACGACGTAAAAGGTTTTGTATTTATTATATCCCGTATGTCACTTTAGTATTCACCTAGTTGTGCTTGCGGGGGTCGAACTCTGCTCTTTCCGCCCGCCTCTCAACTGTCACTCAACGATCAGTCCCCCCCCCCCACACACGCACACCTAGGAAGTAGCCCGTAACAGCTGTCTAACTACCAAGTACCTATTTATTGCTAGGTAACAGGGCCATCAGGTGAAAGAATCTCTGCCCATTTGGTTCCACCATCGCCGGGGATCGAGCCCCGGACCACAGGATTACGTGTGCAGCATGCTGTGCACTCAGTCACCGGCCCCCTTATGTGTGTGTGTGTGTGTGTGTGTGTGTGTGTGTGTGTGTGTGTGTGTGTGTGTGTGTGTGTGTGTGTGTGTGTGTGTGTGTGTGTGCACGTGCTCACCTGTGTGTGGCAGCATGCTTGAGCTCCAGTGATCTTCCAGCCAACAATTGTCGTGTCCAGTGACTCCAGAACTGTTTCTCCACCAAAGCAACTTTTGACATTATAACCGAAGTTCGCTTATATAAACCTGCTTCTTAAGAACATTTCACTTTCCTGCTACTTTTACGCTAAGAGACAACACAGATTCTAAGATTATGGCTGAACTGTTTCTGGCGCTCCTATCCATGCCACCTTGTTCCATTAGAATATTAACATTTTCTCTTTTTCCATTCAGTCAATCCTTCTGAATATTTCAAATTTTCAATGTCTTCCCTCAGTCTCCTCTCTAACCACGTTAACTCCATCTCCTTCAGCCTTTCTTCTTACCACATCCCTCGTAATCCTGGAAGAAGCCCCTTTTAAACCTCTCTACCTTTTCCAGTTTCCTTCTGTGCTCTTTGAGGTGAGAGGTCCCTGGGAGAGGGCGGCCTCCTGGAGGACTGGTCTGACGTACGTGGTGTACAGTGATCTGGGTGACGTTGTTGTTGTCGTGACTGTGGCCAGTATATGTGGTCAAGGAGAGAGCTCCCACCACACAACACCCAAACACTCCACTTTTTACTATATCCTCCTCAGAGTTAACTCATTTATACTAACTTCACTACCGCCGACGCTACCACGACTACCATCTACCTCTACCACCGCCACCACGACTACCATCTACCTCTACCACCACCACCACGACTACCATCTACCTCTACCACCGCCACCACGACTACCATCTACCTCTACCACCGCCACCACGACTACCATCTACCTCTACCACCGCCACCACGACTACCATCTACCTCTACCACCGCCACCACGACTACCATCTACCTCAACCACCACCACCACGACTACCATCTACCTCTACCACCGCCCCCCACAACAACCATCTACCTCTACCACCGCCCCCACGACTACCATCTACCTCTACCACCGCCCCCACGACTACCATCTACCTCTACCACCGCCACCACGACTACCATCTACCTCTACCACCGCCCCCCACAACAACCATCTACCTCTACCACCGCCCCCACGACTACCATCTACCTCTACCACCGCCCCCACGACTACCATCTACCTCTACCACCGCCACCACGACTACCATCTACCTCTACCACCGCCACCACGACTACCATCTACCTCTACCACCGCCACCACGACTACCATCTACCTCTACCACCGCCCCCACGACTACCATCTACCTCTACCACCGCCACCACGACTACCATCTACCTCTACCACCGCCCCCACGACTATCATCTACCTCTACCACCGCCACCACGACTACCATCTACCTCTACCACCGCCACCACGACTACCATCTACCTCTACCACCGCCACCACGACTACCATCTACCTCTACCACCGTCCCCCACAACAACCATCTACCTCTACCACCGCCCCCACGACTACCATCTACCTCTACCACCGCCCCCCACAACAACCATCTACCTCTACCACCGCCACCACGACTACCATCTACCTCTACCACCGCCACCACGACTACCATCTACCTCTACCACCGTCCCCCACAACAACCATCTACCTCTACCACCGTCCCCCACAACAACCATCTACCTCTACCACCGCCCCCACGACTACCATCTACCTCTACCACCGCCACCACGACTACCATCTACCTCTACCACCGCCCCCACGACTACCTTCTACCTCTACCACCGCCACCACGACTACCATCTACCTCTACCACCGCCCCCACGACTACCATCTACCTCTACCACCGCCACCACGACTACCATCTAGCTCTACCACCGCCCCCACGACTACCATCTACCTCTACCACCGCCACCACGACTACCATCTACCTCTACCACCGCCACCACGACTACCATCTACCTCTACCACCGCCACCACGACTACCATCTACCTCTACCACCGCCACCACGACTACCATCTACCACCGCCCCCACGACTACCATCTACCTCTACCACCGCCACCACGACTACCATCTACCTCTACCACCGCCCCCACGACTACCATCTACCTCTACCACCGCCACCACGACTACCATCTACCTCTACCACCGCCACCACGACTACCATCTACCTCTACCACCGCCCCCACGACTACCATCTACCTCTACCACCGCCACCACGACTACCATCTACCTCTACCACCGCCCCCACGACTACCATCTACCTCTACCACCGCCACCACGACTACCATCTACCTCTACCACCGCCCCCACGACTACCATCTACCTCTACCACCGCGACTACCATCTACCTCTACCACCGCCCCCACGACTACCATCTACCTCTACCACCGCCACCACGACTACCATCTACCTCTACCACCGCCACCACGACTACCATCTACCTCTACCACCGCCACCACGACTACCATCTACCTCTACCACCGCCCCCACGACTACCATCTACCTCTACCACCGCCACCACGACTACCATCTACCTCTACCACCGCCCCCACGACTACCATCTACCTCTACCACTGCCACCACGACTACCATCTACCTCTACCACCGCCAAGCTACACACCACCGCTGAAGCACTCACCCAAGCCCTAAAGGGTGCTCCTCCTCTGCCCATCCCTCTCACTGGGGCTGAGGACCCAGGAGTGAATACCACCAAATTGTGAGAGTTCGTCACTCGCAGCAATTTAGAAACTTAGAAGGTCTTGCGTCTCGTGTCACAATACTCACTGATTTGATACTCTCCAGGGACTCTCCGGTGGGTAAGTGTCACATTATAGATGAGTCAGATGATGTAACCTGGAATTGTCAGTTGTCTGTGACTCATCCTCCCTCTTATTTAAAAAATGAAATTTGAATAACTTTTAAATTAAAAATACATATATATAAAGTTGCTTATTTGGCCTTTTCTTCTTTATTGAGTTTTTGGTGTATAGATTTTTTGTCTTGTCTTAATTATTTTGTCTTTGTCTTAATAATAATATTATTATTATAAATGTCTTATCATTATTATTATTACACAGAGAGTAATCACACTAAGGTGACTGCATCCGTGAGAAAATCCGTAGGAAGAATGATGAGGTTTCGAACCCATGCGATGGCTATTAGCAGTCTAATCCCTAGAAGTGTGTCGAACATCCACCGCGCCGGTTCGAACCTTCATCATTCTTCCTACGGAATTTAGCTTAAGCTACTCTATCCCTTTGAGATGTTTTTTATTGTCTAACATCAAATAATACAAACATAGAGAACAATGAACGTGAGTACAAAACTTGTTAGTTAGCCCTCCAAGAGGCCACTTGCAAAAGAAAATGGGAGCTGAGAATTTTCATTAGCTAGGAGTAACTCCGATAAATCTCGGTTTATGCTGTTGGACAATTATTTTTTTTCGCTAAGAACAAAGGGGCAGCACTGTCTAACGACATTACGTATTCATGAATTACTTTTGTTCATCGTGGTGGCGGATTTGATTACCTAGAATGGTGATAATGTTGGGTTATTGGGCGGTGTCACGACCTTCCCTGGAACCCACGGAAGGGTAACGAATTGTTTTATATTATTAATTCATTTATTTATTGCTCTCATCATTGTGATGACATTAACGTAATTGTGTTTACTTCATATTGTGTGTGTGTTTGTTTACTAGTTGTGTTTACTAGTTGTGTTTTTGCGGGGTTGAACTTTGCTCTTTCGGCCCGCCTCTCAACTGTCAATCAACTGTTTACTAACTACTTTTTTTTTCCCCACACCACACACACACACACCCCAGGAAGCAGCCCGTGACAGCTGACTAACTCCCAGGTACCTATTTACTGCTAGGTAACAGGGGCACTTAGGGTGAAAGAAACTTTGCCCATTTGTTTCTGCCTCGTGCGGGAATCGAACCCGCACCACAGAATTACGAGTCCTGCGCGCTATCCACCAGGCTACGAGGCCCCTACCCGAGGCCCCCCTGTGTGTGTGCGTGTGTGTGTGTGTGTGTACTCACCTATTTGTGTCTGCAGGATCGAGCATTGACTCTTGGATCCCGTGTGTGTGTGTGTGTGTGTGTGTGTGTGTGTGTGTGTGTGTGTGTGTGTGTGTGTGTGTGTGTGTGTGTGTGTGTGTGTGTGTGTGTGTGTGTGTGCGTGTGTGTGCCCAGGGCGGCCATATATACCCTCCTGGAGCAAAACGTGGACAGTAATCGCCTTCATATCCGTGGCTAATGGTCGCCAGGGAGGCCAGCTTCCTCCTGGTCAAACCGTATTAAAGCTCCAGCTTCTGGTAGGATGTGTCCTCGGTCACACATGGTGTAGGAGCATGTGTCCTCGGTCACACATGGTGTAGGAGCATGTGTCCTCGGTCACACATGGTGTAGGAGCATGTGTCCTCGGTCACACACATGGTGTAGGGGTCATGTGTGCGCCACAGGTTACCTACCATGTCTACGGGGCCTCGCATCCTACCAATTTGTTCATGGAACGTTCAATTTTATTGATGTTCAAATTCTGTTTCGAATTTTCTACAGGAAAGATTGATTCACTGAGATACAGAGGGCTGTGTCATGCTGTGGCTGAGGGCTGTGTCATGCTGTGGCTGAGGGCTGTGTCGTGCTGTGGCTGAGGGCTGTGTCGTGCTGTGGCTGAGGGCTGTGTCGTGCTGTGACTGAGGGCATGTCAGTCGGGGGCGTGACAAGCCCCCGACCTCTAGTCCAACACGACACATACATCATAAACACTTGACGTCACAACATGACTCACAACATAAACATTTTGGCCAATATAACACCTTATTAACATAACCAAACATAACCTAGCCAAACCAAACCTTAACCTAAAGTACCTGTACCCTAACCTAACCACGGATAGAGTAGATAATAGCACAAATTACATAGCCGTTCTCAATGCATTACCGTGAGCGGATATCTCAAGGTGATGGGAGCACACGGAGCACAGAAGGTGGCGGTGGTGGAAGGAGCACAGGTTGACTACAGTGGGTCATGGAACACTACTATTAACATACAGGCCGACGGGGGCTTGCCCCAGGAGCAATTATTTCATCAATTGTCCCAATTTCATCAGTGATTGTTCCAGTGCAATTTATATCAGAAGTTCTCGTTCCAGTAGTGCTTGTTCTAACGTTCTTGTCTCAGCAATGCATGGTCCACTAGACTATTCTTGACAGTCACAGTTAGAACAACTTCGTGCAATAGTTCAAAAGTTAAACATATCCTGAAATTATTCCACCATTTCCGTTTGAATTATCCATTCCATACATGATGTGGACGGTCCAGATGCCGATAATAACGACACATGTGATCGCACGACCGGGAAGAACCAGTAATAATGTCACTAAGTGTCGCCGTCCAAAATGTTTACCTTGTGGCGGCGGTCACCGCCATCCTGGGGACGGACTCCCGCGCCGGGCGGCCGGGCCCTCCGCCGTCCCCACACTTCCCGCGCTCTCACCACAACCATTAAAAAGTTTTGCGGTTGTCTATTGGATTTTCTTTTATAACTGTCGAGGAATTAAGCCATAAACCAATTTAAGACCAGGATGTAGTAGGCCAAAAAGTTCCGTAACCTTGGGCCCTAAAAATCAGAGGTGAGAGATGGCTGGAAATATGGGAAGGGGTGAAGGAATGGGAGATAAGGGGCAAAATGGAAGGGTAAAGGAATCGAGGGAGGGAAGGGAAAGGTTTGGGGATGGGGGAGGCAAGATGTCATAGAAATTCCGCTAACGTGGACGAATCTTAAAAGGATGAGATTTCATGTGTGTGTGTGTGTGTGTGTGTATGTGTGTGTGTGTGGCAGGTCTCGACAGATGGCGCGCCAATACCTGACTGAGACCACCGTCCCGCTGGTTATATCCTATGGTGACGGCGACTCAACCATCCTGACAGAAATGAGTCTTTTATTCAACTTGACAATTCTAGAGAAGCCGACTTAGATAATATAAATGTTGTAAAGCAATAAACTAGTCGTTAAACCAAAGAGAACTCAGCTGGAAGAGACTCACACCACTAATAATGCAGCAGCATACGTCATAAGCCGCTTGTGGCCTCCAAGATCCACCAAAGCCTTGGAGGATAAGGTGGCTTTACTGCGCTGCATGAAACATTTAAGCGTGTTGGACGCATAAAGCCTCTCCCCTGGTTTACCAAGACACAAGCAGTACCAGCGAGAGCTTCAACATATTGAGAGTAAGATAACATGTGGGATGGGAAAACTACATTTTAAAACACAGATTTCGGTCTTAAAACTTCATAAAAAGGCTTCGTGAAAATTCATAGCGCGCTGCAGTAAGAACGGTGAGAGCCTCCCCATCCCAGGTGGAGCCTCCCCATCCCAGGTGGAGCCTCCCCGGCCCAGGTGGAGCCTCCCCGGCCCAGGTGGAGCCTCCCCGGCCCAGGTGGAGCCTCCCCGGCCCAGGTGGAGCCTCCCCGGCCCAGGTGGAGCCTTCCCGGCCCAGGTGGAGCCTTCCCGGCCCAGGTGGAGCCTCCCCGGCCCAGGTGGAGCCCCCGGCCCAGGTGGAGCCTCCCCGGCCCAGGTGGAGCCTCCCCGGCCCAGGTGGAGCCTCCCCGGCCCAGGTGCATGGAGCCTCCCCGGCCCAGGTGCATGGAGCCTCCCCGGCCCAGGTGGAGCCTTCCCGGCCCAGGTGGAGCCTCCCCGGCCCAGGTGGAGCCTCCCCGGCCCAGGTGGAGCCTCCCCGGCCCAGGTGGAGCCTCCCCCCAGGTGGAGCCTTCCCGGCCCAGGTGGAGCCTCCCCGGCCCAGGTGGAGCCTTCCCGGCCCAGGTGGAGCCTCCCCGGCCCAGGTGGAGCCTCCCCGGCCCAGGTGGAGCCTCCCCGGCCCAGGTGGAGCCTCCCCGGCCCAGGTGGAGCCTTCCCGGCCCAGGTGGAGCCTCCCCGGCCCAGGTGGAGCCTCCCCGGCCCAGGTGGAGCCTCCCCGGCCCAGGTGGAGCCTCCCCGGCCCAGGTGGAGCCTTCCCGGCCCAGGTGGAGCCTCCCCGGCCCAGGTGGAGCCTCCCCGGCCCAGGTGGAGCCTTCCCGGCCCAGGTGGAGCCTCCCCGGCCCAGGTGGAGCCTCCCCGGCCCAGGTGGAGCCTCCCCGGCCCAGGTGGAGCCTCCCCGGCCCAGGTGGAGCCTCCCCGGCCCAGGTGGAGCCTCCCCGGCCCAGGTGCATGGAGCCTCCCCGGCCCAGGTGGAGCCTCCCCGGCCCAGGTGGAGCCTCCCCGGCCCAGGTGGAGCCTTCCCGGCCCAGGTGGAGCCTCCCCGGCCCAGGTGGAGCCTCCCCGGCCCAGGTGGAGCCTCCCCGGCCCAGGTGGAGCCTCCCCGGCCCAGGTGCATGGAGCCTCCCCGGCCCAGGTGCATGGAGCCTCCCCGGCCCAGGTGCATGGAGCCTCCCCGGCCCAGGTGGAGCCTCCCCGGCCCAGGTGGAGCCTCCCCGGCCCAGGTGGAGCCTCCCCGGCCCAGGTGGAGCCTCCCCGGCCCAGGTGGAGCCTCCCCGGCCCAGGTGGAGCCTCCCCGGCCCAGGTGGAGCCTCCCCGGCCCAGGTGGAGCCTCCCCGGCCCAGGTGGAGCCTTCCCGGCCCTGGTGGAG